GGTCTCGCTAAGTTGCTTAAGGCCTCATTAAGTTACTGAAGCTGACTTTTTGACTCGAAACTGACTTTTTGCTTCATCCTCCCAAGTCACTGGGATTGCCACTGTACCTGGCTATACTGTCCTTCACGTATAGGCAGGAATTTCTGCTTCTGTGGACTTTATCAGCCTTTGCTGATAGAATGGAAATGAATGGTAGTATAATAAAGTCAGTTTTAAAATCCAGTTGCCAGGTTAACAATGCTTCTTTGGCTTTATTTTCTAAATAATCTACTTAAGTCAGTGAGATTAATTCAGTAGAAAAGATTTGTGGAGTACTATATTGAACATTTGTTGAGTAGTGACTAAGTAATGCCTAATTCATTCCACCTAAAATTAGTATAACAATTCTGAGCATTTGAAGAAAAAAAATGTTAACATTCTTTATATGATTTAATCCATACCTTGTGAAATCCTTGTTTGTCTCTGTAGGAGGTTGTACTGAGTCTAGGTTTCTTGCTTATTTATTAATAAGAATTACCTGGGGAGGCTATTAAAACTTCTAATACCTAGGTTGTGTGTGTGTGTGTGTGTGTGTGTGTGTGTTTCCTAGAGATTCTGATCTAACAGATTTGATGCAGGCCTGGGAATATATTCAAATACACCACCTTGCCTGATGATTTTTATGATTGGGCAGGTTTGAGGGTCAGGAGATTTGTTTTCTTCAGGAAATGGCCTTGGTGCATATCTATTATATCTTTTTACTTGTTAATCATAGTGTTTCATAGCTGACTGGATATGAAATGCATACTTTGAACACTAAAAATCATAGTCTTCTGACTAATAGACATCTAATTTTGAATGTCTGCATTTTGCTTAGTTTTAAATTAAACTTTATACTTGAGATAATTATAGATTCATGTGCAGCTATAAGAAATAATACAGTGTGATCCATATACCCATATACTTCAATTTCTCCCAATGATAGCATCTTCCAAAAACTATAATATGATACACAATCATGATATTGATATCGATGCAAAATAGAGAACATTGCCATCCCTCATTTGGTCCTTCTACAGACACATCCACTTCCCTCTGTTCTTCATCTCTATAATTTTGTGATTTCAAGAAAATGATATAAATGGAATCATTCAGATATAACATTATGGGATTGGCTTTCTTCACTCAGCATAATTCTCTGGAGAGTCATCCAAGTTGTGTGTATCAATATTTCATTCATGTTTGTGTGTAGTATTCCATGGTATGGATATAGCAGAATTTACCCACCCATTGAGAAAGGTCTGTCTGTTTCTGCTTGGGCACTATCAGTAGTCAAACTGCTATGAATATAGATATATAATGGATATTCGTATACTTACTTTTTTGGGGAGGAGGGTACCAGGAATTGAACCCAGAGATACTTAGCCATTGAGCCCCAACCCCAGTAATTTTTATTTTTTATTTAAAGACAGGGTGTCACTGAATTGCTTAGAGTCTCACTAAATTTCTAAGATTGGCCTTGATCTCAAAATCCTCCTTCCTCATCCTCCCTAGCCACTGGGATTGCAGGCGTGCCACTACACCCAGCATATACTTACTTATTGATGCAAAGGACTTTTGTACCCTGAGGCCTTGTTAAAATTAATTATTAGTTCAAGGACGTTTTTTGTAGATTCCTTGAGATTTTCTACATAGATTTTCATGCCACCTGCAAATAGAACCTGTTTATTTCTTCCATTTGACCCATATACTTTTTGGAACTGTGTTAAATGAGAACAGTGAGCACAGACATCTTGCCTTGTTCCTATCTTAGGGGGAAATGTTGTCTTTCACCATCCAGTGTATTATCTCTAGGAGGTTTGTAGAAGCTTTGTATCAGATTGACAAAGTTATCCTCTATTCCTATTTTTCTGAAAGTTTTTATCATGAAAGGGTGCTAAATTTTGTCAAACAGTTTTTCTGTATCTTTCTTTTTCTTTTTTTGGTACCAGGGATTGAACCCAGGGGTGTTTAATCCTTGAACCACATCCCATCCCTTTTTTACTTTTCATTTCGAGACAGGGTCTCTCTGAATTGCTTAGGGCCTTGCTAAATTGCTGAGGCTGACCTCCAACTTGCAACCCTCCTGCTTCAGCCTCCAAAGTTGCTGGGATTATAGGCATGTGCCACCATGCCCAGCTTCTGCATCATCTTATTAGTTATAAAGATAGCAAATTTATCCTCTTCATATTTAGTGGTTTCGAGGAAGTGGTCTGTTTCATCTGAGTTGTGATTTTTTTCTTCAGCTCATTATGGCAGATTATATTGATTGATTTTTGAATAATGAATCAGCTTTACATCCCTGGAATAAGCTCGTATAATATATGTATATCTGTCTATATGTACACATATATTTTCTTTACATGCTAGGCAAGTGCGCTACCATTGAGCTACTTCCCCAGATCTCTTTTTACATATTGTTAAGTTCTAATATTTGCTAATATTTTGATAAGACCAGGCATGGTGGCACATATCTGTAATCCCAGAGGCTCAGGAGGCTGAGATAGGAGTATCATGAGTTCAATGCCAGTCTTAGCAAGGGCAAGGCTCTAAGCAATTCAGTGAGACTCTGTCTCTAAATAAAAAATACAAAATAGGGCTGGGGATGTGGCTCCGTGGTAAAGTGCTCCTGAGTTCAATCTTGGGTACCAAAAAAAAAAAAAATGGTAAGGATTTTTGAGCCCATGTTCATGAATGATATTGGTCTATAGTTCTTTTTTTGTAGCATCTTTAGTTTGAGGTAGGGTAATACTAGCTTCATCAAATAAATTGGGAACTACTTCTTCCACATCTGTTTTCCAGAAGCATTTGTGTAGAATTGGTGTGAATTTTTAAACATTTGCAGAATTCTCCCATGAAAGCTTCAAGCCGAGATAATTCTTTGGGGGGAGTTTTTACATTATGAGGTCAACTTTCCTATTAGTTATAAAGATAGCAAATTTTTCCACTTCATATTGGTGAGTTGTGGTCCTTAGTGGTTTCGAGGAAGTGGTCTGTTTCGTTGAAGTGGTCGAATTTCCGTGGGTAGATGTGTTCATGTCACCCTCTGATCCTTGCAGAGTCTGGAGTCTGAGTGACAGCCTGTTTCATTCCTGATGTCTGTCATTTGTGTCTTACCTCTTTCTTTCCTGTCAGCTTTATTAGAAGTTTGTCAAGTTTTTGGTTTTGTCAAAGAATTGGTTTTTAATTTCACTGGTTTTCTCTTTTCAAATTTCATTGATTTCTGCTTTTATCTGTATTTTATTTTCTTCCTTCTCCTTGCTTCAAGTTGATTATGATCCTTTGTTAGGCTCTTGGGGCAGAGCTTGGAGTATTGATGTGATACTTTTCTCTTTTCTTACAAAAGCATTTAGTGCTTAAATTTCCCTTTCAGCACTACTTGAGCTGTGTCTCCTAAATTTTGCTCTATTGTTGTAGCAGAGGAAAAGTTTCTTCAGCACTCCTAGAGTTCCTGACTATGTCTGAAGAAACTGACAAATCAAATTATTAGGAAAAACATAACAAATTTCTTTAATCATTTTTACATGACACTGGAGCCTTCGGAAAAATGAAGACCCAAAGTCTCAAGGAAAACTCTTCCCCTACCCTCAACACTAGGACAGGGGATAGAACCAGATGCTCTATCACTGAGCTACATCCCCACCCCTTTTTAAAATTTTTGAGATAGAGTCTCTTTAAGTCTTTGAGGCTGGCCTCAAACTTGCAATCTCTGGCCTTAGCCTCCTGTCACTAGGATTACGGGCATGGGCCATTGTGCCTATCAGAACTATTTTTATGATTAGGTTCAATGAAGAATGAATAGCCATTTATGCATGTGATTGGACATATATGTTCTATGGTAAAAGACTAAATGGGAAAGCCCTGCGAGGCTTAGTTCAGATCCTTCTTAGCCTTTCTCAGTGGCATTCCTCCCTCCCAGGTCAAGAGCTGAACCCTTCTGACATGAGGGTCTTGTGAGCTATTATAAGACAAGGTAGATCAAAGAATTTCTTTACAGCCACACAAACATTTAGGGGAAGAGTGGTGTAATATTTTTAGGTTTTATAACTGGCTTTTGGAGGAGAAGGTCTCTAGTTTCTGTGGCCTCCCCTGGGGGAGGAAAAGGGCAGGAGACATTTTGCTTCTGGTCATTTCCCTCAATTCAAAGTATTTAGGACAGCAAGGCACCATAATTTGGGGTGTCTTGTTCTGAGCCCAAACATTGTGTTATTTTTCTGTTCAGTAGGGGTTTTTTTGTTTGTTTGTTTTTCTCTTGAGATTTCTTTGACCCATGGATTATTTAGAAGTATGTGATTTAGTTTTAAACTGTTTGGAGATTTTTTCCTTTTATCTTTGTTGTTGGTTAAGCTTGGTGAGGTGTTTTTTTTGTTCTTTTTTTTAAGGCTCAGGATGTGGTCTGTATTGGTTATGCTGCACGGTCACTTGAAAGAAAAGAATGTGTAATTTTCTGTTATTGGATGGAGTATTCTACAAATGCTAATTAAATCCAGTTGGTTGATCGTATTCTTAGGTTTTTCTATATCTTAACTGGTTTTCTGTTTAATTATTCCTGCCATATCCCTACCATTTTTTATATTTTATTTAGAGACATGGTCTCACTAAGTTGCTTAGGGACTCCTTAAGTCACTGAGGCTGGCTTTGAACTTGCAGTCCTCTTGCCTCAGCCTCCTGAGCTGCTGGGATTATAGGCGTGCCCTTCTGCACTTGGCTCACTCTCTTTTTCAGTGCTTGAAGTTGAACCTTGGGACTTGCCCATGCTAGGCCAGCTCTGTACCACTGAACTGTATCTCCTGTTCAATAAGCAGAAAGATTTTGAACATTATGGTGATGCTCAAAAAGTTTCAGATTTTGGATATTAGATTTGCAGGCAATAGGTCAACTTGTTGTTTTCTTTGCTCTGAAGTCACTTTATTTGATATTTTTACTTGTTTCTGATTCTATGGTTTTATAACTGAGGCTCTTCCTCTCTCCCCCATCTTTAGGAATATATCATTCGGGTGCAAAGAGGAATTTCTGCAGAAAACAGCTGGCAGGTAAGCACTTTTTATCAACTAGAAATAGATTTGAACTTGTCACCAAAACCCTGACTTAGGCCATCTAAAAACTGGAAAAATCAGAACATTCATAAATATAAATCATATTCTTTTAGCTATAAGCTATTAGCTTTCCTTCATTTAAAATTTTTTTCTTTATTGCTACATATTAATTATTCGGAATAGTGAGTTTCATGGTGGAATATTCAGATATGCATATAACATAAGTACTTCCCCTTATCCTCCCATCCTCTCTCCTAGGTCCCTTTCCTCTACCCTAATGGAAACCTTTGACTTTAAAACAAGTATCATAAAAAGTTTTTCTGTTCCCAGTTGTTTGGTTATATTATATACAGGGTTGCTAGAAAGAGTATCTAGGAATTTGTTTTCTGGCTCAAACCCCTACAGCCATGATTCAGGTGGGTGGGGTTAGAGGGAGTTCAGTTCACAGAAAGGGGAGTCAGTGTCCTGACTATTGTATGGTTAGGTCACTGCATTTCATGGATGCCCAAGTTCACTCCTGGGCCACTCCTAGTGCTAGCTCCCCCACTGTCCTAAGGGAGGGTCTTCTTGGAGCCCCCAGCTCTTCTGTCCCCAGTGGTGGCTTCAGAGAGAAAACACTTCCTAGACAGATCTAGAAGTCTTCCCCATTCCAGTTGACTTGTCGTTCTGAATTGGGCCATTTCTTTCCTGTTTGCTTCTGTCTTGGTTTTGCAATGTTGGGATTTGGACACACTAGGCAATTGCTCTACCTCTGAGCTATGTCCCCAGCCTCTGTTGTTTTAATAGTTACATGTACCATTCCACCTCTTTCCAAAAATGTAAACTTGTCCTTCAGAGCTCAGCTTGAACTTGATCTTCCACCATTTGCAGTTTCTTTCTTTCTTTTTTTTTGTTAAATACCTTTATTGTATTTTTATGTGGTGCTGAAGATTGAACCCAGCACCTTGCATGTACTAAGCCTCTGCCATTAGCCACAACCCCAGGCCCTCTCATGCAGTTTCTTGTCTCTCCCCATGCAGTCTGACCACAGTGGCCACACTTAAATCTTTCCTTTGCCTAGAATTTTAAGTTGCTGTTTGTTTAAATAATTATTTCATTTAACATCTATTGAGCATATTAAGGGTTCAGCACTGCTTCAAGTGCAAATGCCTTAATATTCACTTAATCCTTTAAAACCAGTCCTGTGTAGTAGAATTACCCCTTTTTTACGTTTGAGAGCTTAAGCAACTTGTCCAAGTTCACACTTAGATGTTTGGCAGAATAAGTTTGAATTTTGCATAATCTCTGGGGGTAGCCACTGTACAATTTTTGCTTTTTTGCTCTTATCAGAGATGGCCTTAAATTTAACTTTTTCATGTGGATGTAGCAAGCAGTACCAACAGCAAGATCTTACCAGAAAAATCATGCGGGGGTGCAGTTTTCTAGATCCACAGTTTTCTAGATCCATTAGCAGCCTGGGAGTGCTGGGCGAAAATGGACTCTTAGGCCCACCCTACACCTACTGAATTAGATTATTCCTGAGAGAGGTTCTGGATATTCCCAGGCAATTCTTCTGCATACCAACATTTGACAACCCCAATAAAGGCTGAGAGTGGATCTATTCAAAAGTGAAATAATCCCTTACCAAGAACCTTGGAATGATTTTAATGGCATCAGTACAACTAAGAAAGAATGTAGACAATGAAAGGTGGACTGTCTGCCAAGAGGGAAAGCCTGAGAAATCAGGTGAGATGTGGCAGTCTTTCCTGCAGGTGTAATCCAGTCTCTAGAGTGATAGGCTATCTCCTTGGGAGTTTGATCCAGGGGAAGGATAATATGGCCTCAGAACTGTACCTTTCCTTTTGAGACTAAGCTTAGTAAAACTTCATTTATTTACTAATTTTGAAAATCATTAATTCATGTACTTGTTAATGTCTTGTAAGTTTGCCTGGCATTAACCAGTTTCCCATAGCCCAGCCAACTCAGGGCTTATTTTCTGAGCCTGTCAAATAAAGCAGAGGAAGCCCAAGAGGTCCTCCTCCTCTTAGCATAAAGGCCTCAGCACTGGAATGCCAGTAAATAGTTCATAAGGCAATGGAAAGGGATGTCTTTGCAGAATCAAAACACTGTTGTCTTGTTTCTTACAGATTGTTAGAAGATACAGTGACTTTGATTTACTGAACAACAGCTTGCAGGTAAGTGTTTTGAAACTCTAGTGACACACATTGCTTTGGGTATCTTAGAAACTGGTTGGAAATGGTGTGTTTGTCAGCTTCCCATCATTATAACAAAATACCTGAGATAATCAGTTATAAAGGGGAAAGGTTTATGGTAGCTCTCAGTTTGGGGGATTTCAGTCCATAATCAGTTGGCCCTATTGCTTTGGCCTGCCTTACTGCTGGGAGATAAGAGAAAACATGACAGGGGGGCAGGGTCTCATATTCCCCTTCAAGAGCCTATCCCTAGTGACCTCTCAACTAGGCCCCACCTCTTAAAGGTTTTACCACCTCTCAGCAGTGCCACCCTGGGGACAAGCCTTTAACACATAGACCTTTGGGGGACATTCTTTCCTGACAAAGGAAATCAATTCATATTTTAAACAGATGACAAGTGGCTCTAAAAATAAACTTTTGAGAAGGGACTTGTGATTTATAATTACTATTCCCCTTGCAAGTGAGTCTCTTTGTGCCAGACCATATCCTTAATACAGCTTAGGTGCTGATGTAGCATCCCCATTTCACAGATCAGGACTGGTTATTTGAGCTGGGACCCTCAAACTCTCCATTGGACTGGGCTGTATAGTTAGCCTCCCAGATCAACACCTAATAGTAACAGCAGAGACAGCCTTTTTCAGTTTAACTTTTTTCTCTTAAATATGTATTTCTAAATCTCTCTGACGTGGATATTCTAACCTGGTGGCCATAATGGAAAAAAGGATGAGCTGCAAAGTCTCGGTTTGCAAACAGCCAGTGCCTATAGTGGTTGCAGGCAGGGTCCTGGAGGGGCTTGAGCACCATTAGAAGCACTAGCTGTGTCATCTCAGGCAGGATAGTCTTCAAACACGGTGGGTTACTGGAGATCACGGGGCCTGTGTCATTCCTCAGATTGGAGTGGTAACACAAGCCATTCTAGTTTGAACTGGAGAGCGCGGTCTGGCCAGCTCAGCCAGGAGGCAAAGGGCTGCTGCGTTCATGGGTGAGCTGGCCGTCAGCCTGTTTCCTGAGTGACCTCTGATGCCGTCCTCAAAGGTCAGGAGAATGGCTGGCTGGCTGGCTGGCTGGCAGGGAGCGTGGTGCTTCTTTCCTTCTAAAGGCCACCTTTTATTGATTAGACTTCAGAAAATAGCATTTTAAGAGCCCAAACTTTACCGTTATTTACAACACTTACTGTCGAAAGCACAAGTGCCTTATTTTCCTTCTGGTTGAATTGGCCCAGCTATCTGCAAACCTGTGAGCAACTGCCATATTTGTCATACATTTGACACATGTTATCCTTTTTTCTGGGGGTTGGGGGTGCTGGGGTTCAAACCAGCAGCTTGGGCATACTGGGCAAGCTTTCTACCGCAGAGCCATATCCCCAGTCCCTGTCTTTTTTAATTTTAATTGTAGTATGGCTAATTTAAATCTCTTGATAGCATATTGGCAGAGATTGAATTCTTCTCATTGATGGGCTTAATTGGTTTCATTTGTGGATTTTGATAGCGTATTCTTTGTGCTTAGATAAAAGCTAGGTCTGTGGTGACTTTGCAGATAAGCCACCAGGGTGCAGTTGATTCCAGGGGCAGATTTTCCCATCAAGTTCCCCCCCTGCAGCCATACAGTAATGTGAGCATCTTGGGAGTTAACCCTGGTCCTACCACGTGCTTCCATCTTTATTCACAAATGAATCTTTGCCCAGTATTGGATGATCTTTATACAGCGTCTTTTTGTCACAGCTGAGTAAAGATTATGGAGAAATATTTCCAAAAATTGAAACCGACTCCACCTAGCCTCTGAGAACAAGGGTAGGGGGGAGGATTTTTAGGTCTTATTTCTCTTACTTTGGGGATATAAGTTTGAATCTCTATGATATTCAATTGTGGCCTTTTTAATGGAGCAGAATTTTATTTTTGCTTCAGTGTAATTTTCTCTTTTAAAATGGGCACTTTCAATGTGCATCTTATTTCAAATGCAAATACCCACATGTATTGATGTTGGCTTGTGTGGCGTAGAACACAGCCAGACAGCCTTTCAGTGGGAGGTTTTTCTTGATCCAAGTAAACAAATAGAAGAAAGAACATACAGCTTCTTGGCAACACAATAATTTCAAAACAAACTCCATAAAACAGACCAAAAAGACACCAGAACCGCACGATGAAACTGTGACCAGGATTTTCGGTGTCCAATTACTCATTCAACAGACAAATGAGTTTCTGCTGAAGAAAGAGAAATATAATCTGGTGGAGTGGTGTCTGAATCCAACAGGAACATACCTCGGTGAAACTAACAAAGCAGAATTATACGTGCCACACAATATGGTTACATGAAAAGTTGAGAAAAGAAGATTGGAAGGAATATGCCAATGGTGACCCCCAAGTTGTGGAATTATGCGTTATGTTATTATCTGGTTATTTATACTTTTCCTTACAAATAAGCTCCTGTGAGCTGTAATAAGGAGAAAAATAGAAAAGAGTCTGCATTTTCCAAAAATTCTGTAAGTGAACATATTTTGTGGTAACAATGAAGATAAATCATTTATCTTAAATAAATGCAAATAAACATCAAATCAGCAACCATCTAAGGAAATAGCATAAAACAAAGACAGGTGGTTGAGATGATGGGAAGGAATACAAACTTTGTCCCTTAGACTTGGGGAGGAACTCAGACTGCCCCTTACTAACATTGAGACCTCTGTCTGTCATTTCTTCTCTTAGCTCCTTTTTTTTTTTTTTTCTTATTTTGGTACTGGGAATTGAACTCAGGGGTGCTTAATCACTGAGCCACATCCCCAACCCTTTTTTTATATTTTATTTAGAGACAAGGTCTCACTGAGTTGCAAGTGCCTCACTAAGTTGCTGAGGCTGGCTTTGAACTTGCTATCCTCCTGCCCCAGCCTCCTGAGTCACTGGAATTACAGGCATGGGCCACCATACCCGGCTCCTCTTAGCTTCATTTTCTCCATCTGAAAAGGGTTGAACCTGGTGATTTCCAAGGTCTCACATAACACCAGTGTTTTGTGATTTGAATATTCCTGCCCGTCATTGACCTTGGAGAGACTTACTGTGCACTGGGAGGAAATTGGGACAAATTAAGGGTCCACTGAGAGTTTAGAACTCCCTAGAATACTAACTAGATGATTGAAGTAGTCGGCAGGTCATTAAGAACTGATGATAGAAGTGAGAGAGATGAACGATTAATGTTGGATGTTTTGTTTTCATCCAGATTCAAGCTAGTTTTCTTGACACTGTGGTATAGTTTGTTGTGTCATTTAGAGGCCTCACTAGGCATCGGTCAGATTGTGGGCTCCGGGCCCCACCTCGGGCTGTCACTGTGAATGGAACTCGGTACTTATCTCTGGGCTTTGCTGTTCTCCTTTCCTTCTGAAAGGAACTCAAGGCAATCCAGAGGGCTAGTTAAAGGGGAAGGTAGTGAAAGAGAGATGCTGAGGCCCTGTGAGTTGTCTAGGAAATCTGGGCTCCGTGACTTTATCACTGTGTGCTAGTGTTATTTCCCCTCCCTTCTAGTCATTTTATATTCTGTGATTGGGAAGCATTCTAGAAAGTCTAAGACAAAGCTGAAAGAGAAAATAAATGTCTCTTGAATGTTAATCTTCTATAAAAGGCAATATTTTATCTTTTTTCTGGTACTAGAGATAGAACCCAGGGGCACTTCATCACTGCACTACCTCCCCAGCCCTTTTTGTTTTCATTTTCAACTTGTGATCCTCCTGCTTCTGCCAAATAGCAGGAATGACAGGCCTATGACACCCTACTGGGCAAAAGGCATTTAAAAATGACACATGTTGCATAGTTTTATACTTCTAGGAATATTAACCTGAGATCTTCACATAGGGCAGAAAAACTACCTCCAGCCTATCTGACATAGTAGGGACACAGTAATTGCAGCTGTTGGCAAAAGAACTCTGATGATTTGGAAAAAGTCATGGGAGGTTTAGGCAGATCAGTACATTTTCCTAGAGTAAAATGAAGCTTAGAAAAATAGACTGGTTGAAGCTTGGAAACCTAACGATTCAAGACAGCTATCAAATGCCTTCTTACATCCCCACCATAAGTGAAAAATGGTGAAAATATTGGTGTTTGAACCTGATGACATTAGATATATATCCATTCTGGGTGTGGTAGGATGCAGTTGGTGCCGGTGTTCGGTGGTGCAGGCCAGTAGGTTAATACTAGTTAATGGTAATTAAAAAAAAAAAAAAATCCTTGCTTCCTATATAATCAGTTTGAGAAGCAAAAGGTATTTTCTTGTTATTTAATTGGGAGGAAAAAGTAGTGAATGAGCATTATAAGCATCATAGTAAAGAAACAAAAATTAAGACTGTCACAGGAAATCTGACCGGATGGGCAGCCACCCACCCCCCCAACTCCCCCCCCAACCAGGGATTGACCCATAGATGCATAACCACTGAGCCACATTCCTAGCCCTTTCAATATATATATATATTTTTCTTTCTTTTTTTTTTTTAGAAACAGGGTCTTGCCAAGTTGCCTAGAGTCTCGCTAAGTTGCTGAGGCTGACATGGAACTTGTGATCCTCCTGCCTTAGCCTCCTGAGCAGCTGGGATTACAGGCATGCACCACCACTTGTAGATGCAGCCACCTCTTTCTGCCCTTTTGCGCCTTCCTGGGTCTGACTGTGTGGTGGAGGAGGAAGCCAGGCCAAGGAGCAGCAGCATTGGGGAAAGAGGCACAGTTAACACTGAGGATGGGAAGCTCTCAGCCAGGAGGAGTCATTCACTGCTAAAGTGTATCACAGAGAAAAGTGATGAGATTGCTCATTTTAACCTAGAAAACAAGGCAAATAAGAAAAAGAAAGAGGATGGAGACAAAAGCTCAAGGAGAGAGCTTAAGCTGAAGGAGTGGACAGAGAGAGTGGCGCTCTCTTCACTGAGAAAGGCCACTCTCAGCAGGGACAGACCCCGGGAGCGTTTGTTGCCTTAAAGGGAATTTTGAAGAGATAAGTAGGGAGTTGGAAGAAAAAGAGGCTCAGCAGCTTTTTGGGCTGTATTCTCCAAGTCATTCACTGCAAAAGCTAGCTTAACAGAGATTGGGAAAGTCCATGAATACTCCCATGTCTTTCTCAAGCACATAAAGAAGGCCTGTGTGTTAGTGGTGTGTCCTGGGACTTCCATGTACTGCAGCTAATAACTGTATTAGCAAGCAAACAGGATATTCTTTTTCAAACAAAAATCATAGTTATTTTTCATTGTTTTGCATAATTTTCTTAGCTAAAAGATTATCTCTGAAAGATGAATAAAACTGTTGTTTATGTAGTTATCTGAAAAAAAAAAAAAGACTTGCTGGTAGCTATTGTTAAGCCACCCACCGTGTGAATCCTGCCAGACAATTTTTGTGCCTATATAAACTTATCTGTGGGCTTACACACATGCGCACACACACTCAAAATAAGATTATATTCTGCAATTTCATAGAATAGCTATATAAGAGGAAACATCTGTTACGTTTGGGTTATGTATTACCCTTGGTTAAAACTTCATGTCCCTGATGAAAATAAAATGAAGTGATGAGTCTTGGATGTGTGATAGCTGGATGAGGATGCATTTTTATTTAGCGAATAAAGAAGCTGTCATTCAATAAAGGCTAATTGTGTGAAAGAGGAAACCACCCTAAAACTGATAAGTTTATTCTCTGGCAATAAATTGTGCCACAATAGAAAATTCATTCTAATTGTGCTCTGATGTATTCTCATAATTACGTTGGAGAAATAGGCAATCAGCCAGCCTTTTCATCTCATCCAGTATCAACTTTAGGCTCTTCATCTGGCAGCATCATTATTTGAAAACTGTAGAGTGGCACAGTCGCAGTTAGGCTGGTCCACACAAGTGGTCCAGATGACTTACTTTTCTGAATTCAAGGTGCCCTCCAGACCCTCCATCAATAATGCACACCACATGGCTCTGATCTAAGCACTCACATTGAATGCGCCACTCTTTGAAAGTGACTTTGCTCCCCGAATTAAAATGCCAATTCGATACTTTGTTTTTAAGTTTGAAAAATAGACTCAACATTTTAAATGATCTGGAAAATGATAGTAGGTTGAGCACCTGCATTTACTTTTCTTTCCTCACCAAACCACTCTAGACAATAGTCAATTGGTTTTATAAACACACACACACACACCATCTCAAGGACAAATATAATAACAGAGATGAAAACCACAACAAAATATTTTAGGCCGAAAATCCAATAGCTGAGAGCTCACTCATGCAGCAGATGGGGAAGGCACAATTTTGAGATGGGAAGCAGATAATTTTAAAAGGTCTCAATTTACATCACAGAACCCCCAAAAGGTTTAGCAATTGTTATGAATATAACTATTATGAATATAATTTACCTAATGTAAATATGATAATGATACACTAAAATTATAATCACATATGTACAGATGGGGATTGGATGTGTGTGGAATAAGGTAAGAATTGTGAAAAAGAACTAAATCTTAATTTTTCCATAATGGGAAAGTTCAGAAATTTCCCAAAAATGAGAAGTCAAGACATAGAAGACCAAGCAATATGAGCATTCCCCACTGCCAAAAGATTCGCAGAAAGAATTGAATGTGGCTGTTTCAGGGTAGTGGAGAAGGGATTTCACCTGGTGGCAGAAAGAGTGGGAGACAAAGTACCACAGAACTGCCAGTAATAATTTTTAAAAAATTATTGGTTCTTTGCATTATGTTTATGTATAGCTTTGGTTAATTTTTTACTAGTTAATTTATTAACTTATTAATTACTTAATTGTGGTGTGCTAGAGATTGAACCTAGGGCCTCACACATGTTAGGCAAATACTCTACCATTGAGCTTCATCCCCAGCCCTTTTGAAATTTTAAAGTTACTATACTTCATACAGAATTTTATCAGTTCCAATATACATAGTTTTTTTCCCCATTTTTATAATACCACTAAAATTAGGATGCATCTTAAAATCTATGTTATCTGAAATTTAATGAACTATGATGGCTTAGGATTCTAATAGTGAATCTTACTAGTGGATGACATAAGTATAATACCTCTTTATTTTCCTTTTTAAGATTGCAGGACTAAGTCTACCTCTTCCTCCCAAAAAATTGATTGGCAACATGGATCGTGAATTCATAGCTGAGAGGCAGAAAGGTCTTCAGAACTATCTCAATGTTATCACCACAAATCATATTTTGTCTAATTGTGAACTGGTTAAGAAGTTTCTAGATCCAAACAACTATTCTGCAAACTACACTGGTAAGCCAAGGGATCTGTCCGCTGTGGTCACTCTGGGCACTGTTCTTAGAAAGAGGTAATGAACATGGGGGAAACTCTACTTCTAAACAAGGAAATGTGCACATTTGTAATAAGGTATTATTTATTTACAAAGACTTACTTGATTATAATTTAGATTTATAAGAACTTTATTTACTTGTAAAATGTTCATAATGTTTGCACAGAAAAATAGGGAAGAGAAATTGTCATGTCTAGTACTCATAATCTTTATTATCTTTTCTGACAGAACAGAGAGTATATAATCCACAGTGATGTACACAGTAATTTCAATTTCTTTTGGTATTTGGCTCTGTTTTTTTTTTTTTTTTTTTCAGGTACTAGGGGTTGATCCCAGGGATGCTTAGTCACTGAGCCACATACCTAGTCCTATTTTGTATTTTATTTAGACATAGGGTCTCACTGAGTTTCTTTTGGCCTCGCCAAATTGCTGAGGTTTACTTTGAATTCTTGATCCTCCTGCCTCAGCCTCCTGAGCCACTGGGATCCCAAGTATATGCCACCACGTGCAGTTTGGCTCTGTTTTTATATATACAATACATTGTGTATCTGTATTTTCCAGGCATTTATTTTAAATACAGCAATGATTCAGAAGGGTCCTTTATTTTTTTCCATGCTCCTGAGCCCCTCCAGTGCAAAGCATAGAGGGTACCTGAATCAGGATGTTACCAGGGGTCTGAGTTGAAATGGCTTCTCTTCCAATACTGATTACACACAAAACAGCATCAATAGCCCAAGCCTGATGCCAATGGAAGGAGGAACAAGATATTAAGTACATTCTAGTGTGGACTTAAAGGACCAGTAAAAACCATTGCAGACCTGAGCCCATGAGCCAAATTCAACTGATTGATTAAAGCCGAGCCCTGCTTAGAAGCTTTCTGTGTGGAACTCTGGGTATTGTTAATTTCCTTGCTAAAAGGATAGATTTTTGTCAGATTATTGGGTCTTCAAAACATTGCTTTAAAATAATTAGAGGGAGGCACTTTTTATTCCTATTTCAGAGTGGGGGAATTGAGGCTTATTTCTTGGGCACCAAACTCTTCTGTGTAGTGGAATCACTTGGGGGCTTTAAAAAGTTCCAGTGCCCCAGGCCGCATGCTTGCCAATGAAATCGCAGTCCCTGCGGGTGGGGCTCGTGATTTATAGAGCTGTCTGAGTGATTCCAGGACCCAGCCTGGTTGGAAAACCACAGCCCTTGAGGCTGGCTCTTCAAAGTGTGGTTCTCTGGCCACCCTGACCGCATCAGCACCACGTGGGCTTGTCAAAAGTGCAGACTTCAGGCCCCATCCCAGACCTGCTGATTCAGAATCTGCCTTGAACAGGTCCCCGGGTATACTGCGCGCACATTAAAGTGGGAGACATCTTCTAGAAAAGGCTTGCCATCTTCCAGTTGAAGTGCTGTACACGGCTATTGCCTTTTCAAATAACCAAGAGAAGGAAAGTTTATTTCAAACTCACGTTTACTATAACTTGCAAAATCGTGCGTTGGGTTGTTATAGGGATTCCCTTCTTCTCCCTGCTATTTTTTGGCACACAGAGGAGAAAAGACATCACAAATAGGACTGGGGCTCTCAAGACAGCTCCAGTTCTGTCAGAGTAGCATCATTTGCAGCTTTCATTTCCCCACACTGCACCTCAATAGTTCCAGACATGGTCAGCCGCTCATCTAGATTGGCTCATCAAATCAGCCCCAACTCTGTCCTGTGTGTGTTTGTCTGCATCACTTCCTGAGTGTCTGTGGCTCTTGTCCTGCAGGCAGGCATCAAGGTGTAGTGCACATGAAAAGAAGCCATTCAGCCCATGCAGCCCACAGGTATCAGCCGAGTGTCAGGAGGCAGGTGTGAGGCAGGCGCACTCTCTGCTCTCAGGGGGCTCATTCCACAGGGACATTGAATCACGGGGGCTGTGCTAGCAGGAATCCCAGAGCTGTTGCACCAAGACTAATCTTTTTATTTATAGATGAGGAAACTAAGGTCACCAGAGAGGGACGGCCTGATCCAGTCTTGTACGTTTGTGTGACTAAGTCTGATCTGAATTTTTTCAAGTTAAAATTCTATTTAGCTTCTGGAAGGTTGTTTGATCTCGGTTTCTCCTTGTACTGAACCTCCCCCACATGCTGACACTGTTCTTCATCTTTCCCAACACCACAGCAGAGTAGATGGTCAGAGTTCAAAGCAGATGTGGGCAGGGGTGTAAAAGGCCACCAGGAACTCCTACCAGAATCCAAAAGCTCAAGAGTCCAGCTGTTTCATAGAGGGCAGAGTTCTATAATAGTCCTATAAGCAATAGGTGAGGGGTGCTGTTTTCAGAAAGATGGTGATTTATTTCCGCCTTTGAATGAAATGTCAGAACTTGTCTTGGCTCTAGGCTGACTCACCAACGGCACCAGGAAAAGGAAGCCCACGCCAGCTCCATGGAGCCATTCCTGAAATACACGGTCTGACGTAGTTCCCAGAGGGCACAGAGCACGCCACCCAACAGTGGCACTTCTCTATTCAGGGCCACTTCTCCCCCTGAGTGTGGATAATGGCACTGTCTCTCCTCAGTTTTCTAATGGTCCGTGGACCCCACCCAACTTCACTGCAGCAGGATTTGAGTTATGTGTTCAAGTGGTGGGTGGAAAGACCCACACGACCGCTCTTCCTGTTCAGTGCTCTGCCTGGGGTGAGAGTGCCTTGTTAGAAGGGACTGTGCTGCCCACCCAGCTCCCCAGGATGGCTCCTCAGGAGCTCTCAGGACACCAGCAGCTGCTTCATGTCCTCCTAGAGTCCCCAGCCTGGGATTGTGGGACTTTCTTTCTTTTCCGGCTTTTTCCAAATGACCACATCCACAGAAGGGAACTGTAGGCCCTTAATAATCCGTGGGAGGGTTGTCAGGTGCTTGGGCCAGCTGTTGTACAAGAGAGGTGTCTCCTAGACCTGAGGAGTTTGTGTTGAGAACACACACACACACACACACACACGCACACACACACACGCACACACACGCGTGCTCATATCTATCTTGTTGACAAGCCCCTTCTGTCATTTAGAAGCCTCTGAGCTGTAGCCATCTTCCCATCTCAAACCTACACATCTCCTCACAATAAGAGATGCTGCTGTTTTTTTTAATGATGCTGGTGATTGAGCTCATGGCCTTGTGCATGCTAGGCAAGTGCCATACCCCCGAGCTACATCCTCAGCCCCCAGAAAAGGTTTTAATGTCCACATGAGAGTCACTTGAACCAGAAATCAGGAGGCCTGGGCCCTGGGGCCACTTTTGTTGTGGGCAGCATTTCCCGTCTCTGTGCTTTGGATCCTGACCTGCAAAACTACAGGCCTGAGGAGGGCAGGCAGTCCAGTCCTAAGACCCCAGGAATCCCTTGAATAGGAGGGTACAAGAAGTGGGGGCTGGGGGCTGGGGCTGGGCTATGATGTTCAGGACAAAAGCAGGGCGTCTGGGAGAGGCCACAAGCTTTTTTGAGACATGACACTGCCGGCCTGGTAGACTGGAGATTTGAAGCTCAGTTGCAGGGCTAGAAGAGCTTGTGTTTGTTCCCTGCAGTCATCCCACAGGGCTGGATCTAGGAGTTCAAAGACTGCACACAGTGGGGGCACCTGGTACATCTGAGCTTCATGGGAAGCCTAGGATAGACTCAGAGGTCTGGCTCTGCATTTCCTATATTGGGCTTGTTCATCAGCACTCAGTGAGCATGTGGCTTCCCACATGTCAGTACTAAGGAAATAGAGGACAGATGCCTTCCTTTCCATGGGTTTCATGTCCTAATGGTTCACATCTATCAACCATATAATGAACCATTATTTGTATGTCATTAACTATAAACTGAGCACCTATTATATGCCAGGTGCTAAGCATTCAGCAAGGAGAAAGGAGTAGTCCCTCCACCTACACTCACCCACAAACCCAAGGCACTTACATAGGGAGATTGACACGTGAAGATCTTGGCAGGTGAACACTGGGCAGCACCTTGAGGGAAGGATGGGGTGAAGGTTGGGAGGGCAGACAGTCCAGACCTGGTGATGGAAGGGGGCTTTCCAGAGCAGCTGTTACCTGCAGTGAGACCTGAGGGCTAATGAAAGCTAGCCAGGCTGAGAGGCAGGGGCCGCTGCTACAGGCAGAGCCCCCCAAGGGGAAGAGAAGTAGTAAATGGCTCTGGATTTTACCCAGATTAAGAGGTCCCTTCCAGCCAGTTTACAGTCTGGTGGAAGAGAGTCACCCTAATATAGGACAGACTATGGATAATTCCATAAGAAAGGGACAGAGAGCGCACTGGGAGCGTGCAGACAAGTCCTGGCTAGGGACAGCAAATTTGAGCTGAGCCTTGAGGAATAGATGGGTCAGGTAAAAAATGGGGAGGCACCAGGGGAAGGCCAGCCTTTAGTGACCACAGGAGGCAGACCTCAGGGTGCAGAGTAGGAGACCCCGAACATAGTGGGGGAAAAGACCAGAAAGATGAGGTAAGCCAGAGGCAGGCTGAACACGATGTTTAGCAGCTTGGTCTGGATTTGGTAAGGAAGTGGGGGCCAGTAAAGGCTTCTAAACAGAGGAGTGCTATTTAGGATTGAAACATGTTGCCTGAGTCTGGGGAAAGAAGGTGTTAAGATTGGGAGCATGGTAGCCATGGGGTTTATTGGACAATACATCACAGTTCAGTGGGAGGAAAGTGTCCTTTCTGCTCCTAAGGTAAAGAGAGAATCTGTTCCCTAGTCCTCAATTTATGATTAACAAATCCAGCATGTTCTATTTGTTCCCGGCTATGTCTCCACTCCTTAAACAACGTATGGTATGCAGTAGCATAAATAAATATTGTTGACTAATGATATTATAGGGAGTTATGAGTCACTGTTAGCTTTGCACAACTGTCCTTTCCAGTCTTCGGGATGACATGGTACTGCGTTGGAAAATGATTTCTCATGATCCTTCTCAAAGTTGATATGAATAATTTTCACTTAATTTCCTTTTATTCTTGCTTATTTGCAAGTTATTTTGGAAATACTAAAAACGCTTTATAGCAACATTAATTATAGAAAAGGTGCAAGATTCCCAGAGTTGATAATAAAAATTTATATGCTTCTGCTTGTAAACGGTTCATTGTGCATTGGGGTAGTTACAACGAATGTAAATCGAGCCAATTTTGATTTGGGCACCCCGTGTTTTCTTCTGAGTGGATGTCATTGACACTTTACATATTGAGTTAATAAACAAATAGCTAGGAAATTGTTTTCTTCCCTGTCTCTCTTAACTCATAATGTACAGTAAAACATATCAGTAGAATGCTGTTTGTCAAGCTCTCTGCATAATTGGAGACCCGGTCATTTTGACATATGGAGAGTATTTCTGGCGAATCCCTCAGGCCTCACCAGTCTCCTTGGAAGGCAGTTAGTGCTCGGCAGAGGTGGAATTCTACGGTGTATTGAGATAATGGCTATTAGCTTTCAGGAATCTGAACTACTTTCATTTACTCCCTGCATTGAGAGGAAATGGCAACTTACAGATGTTGCTTTTTTGCAGGAAATGTAAAAAGCAGTTATTCTGATGGTTTCTTAATACAGTGGACTTTAAAGAACTTCCTGTTCTCATTGTCTTCTTCAAGGGGGGAAAACATTGTCATGATAAGTGAACACCAGAGGAGGGGAGAAAGGATGGATTTTTTTTTTTTTTAATTTTCCCGTAAACAGGCACTCAGTGACTTCCCACAATAGAACCATGTTGTTACTGAACATAGATGTTTTTCTAAAACACTGGCTTTTATTTCCATATTTATTTAAGGCTAATCACTTCTTTGTTGGTGAAAGCTGTAATTCCATGAGGAATGAAGATGGGATAAATATCACTTGGAACAACATTCAGTGCTGTTCCAGTCTGACCTTAGAATGTGTTTTGAGTCTTGTGCTTTGGTTGTGGTCTGGGGCATATATCAAATTCATGGTTTAGGTCACCTAGTTCACATGTTTTAGATTTTCCAGTTAAAAAATATATACACATTTATTTTTTTATATCATTAATAATTACATTTTTTTTCTGCTTGATAAACTTTTAACTTGGGAATGAGTTTAGATTTACAGAGATGTTGCAATGGTATTACAAAGAGTTTCCGTTTATACCTGTCCTTTAATGTTAATATCTGATGACACACTTGTCAAAATATATTAATATTATCATATTACTTTTTTTTTTATACTGAGGATTTAACTCGGGGGCACTTAACCACTGAGCCACATTCCCAGCCCTTTTTTACTTATTTTTTATTTGGAACAGAGTCTCACTGAGTTGCTCAGGGCCTCAATAAATTGCTGAGGCTGGCTTCAAACTTGTCATCCTCTTGCCTTAACCTCCCGAGCCGCTGGGATTACAGGCATACACCACTGAGTCCAGTTCTCTTATTGCTGTTAAACACATGTGTTACACAGATTTCACCGTATTTCCACTAATGTGCTTTGGCTGTTTCAGGGTCCAGTCTAAAATCCCACATTGCTTTTAGTTGTCCTCTTCTTCCTCCTCCTCCTCCCCTTCTTCTTTGTGTTCTTTTTGTAATTTTTTCATTTGTGAGAATAATATCTGGAGCATATGGCCCTTTTCCTAATGTGTTTGACTAATGAGTTTCCACATGTCTTTGCAGAGATTGCCTTACAACAGGTCTCCATGTTCTTCCGATCAGAGCCAAAGTGGGAGGTGGTGGAGCCACTGAAAGACATAGGTGAGAAATCGGCAGCTCCGTCCTTTAAGGAGACAGATTCCAGACCTGCATTCTTGGTCCTCTTTCTGTCAGATATCCCCAGATGTCCTAGGACTCTTCTTAGGTTCTGGGACTCCTTTTTCTTTCTGCATTCCTACTGCTTGAGGATGCGGTCCTTAACTTTTACTACTTAATGCATCTTAGGATTTGGATGGTAGTAACTTTTTGCACCCACCACTCTTTTTCTTTTTTTTAATTAAAAAAAAACTTTAGTTGTAGATAGATGCAATACCTTTATTTGATTTATTTATTTTTATGTGGTGCAGAGGATCAAACCCAGTGCCTCACATGCTCTAGGTAACCAGTCTCCTCATGAGCTACAACCTTAGTCCCCATTCAGGTTTTTTGTTTTGTTTTGTTTGGTGCTGGGGTTTGAACCCAGGGCCTTGTGCATTCGAGGCAATCACTGTACCGCCTGAGCTGTATCCCCAGCTACCATCCAGTTTTCATCTGTCTTTTTCACTTAATCCATTTTCTTACTACTTCCATGAATAATTTAATTTTTTTTCCTCCTCCTCCTCCTCCTCCTTCTTTTTTTTTTTTTTTTTTTTTTTGGTACTGGGGATTGAACTCAGGTGTGCTTAACCACTGAGCCACATCCCCTTTTTTATATTTTATTTATAAATGAGGTCTCCCTGGGTTGCTAAGGGCCTCCCTAAGTTGCTGAGGCTGGCTTTGAACTCCATCCTCCTGCTTCAGCCTCTCAGCCACCCTGTTATCTTCCTTTCTTTCTTCCTTCCTTCCCTCCCTTTTTCCTCCCCTCCACCTTGCTTGCTTGCTCTCTGGTATACCCTTTACCATGTGAACATAATCAAGTGGCTTTTTTACTGGTGCTTACTATGGGTAATTTTGCCAAGCTTAATTTTGATCAATTACTTTTAGTCAGTGAAACTTAGAGCAATTGTAAAAATGATGCAGCTGTAAACACATTTCTGCTTTAATGACAGGCTGGAGGATAAGGAAGAAATATTTTTTGATGAAGATTAAAAATCAACCAAAGGAACGGCTAGTCTTAAGCTGGGTAAGCTAATTTTTTTGCTTCAGATTTTTTTTTCCTTTTTAGTGTTTTTATTGCATCAATTTTATTTCAGGAAATTTAGATAGATTTCTGAAAGCAGATTTGACAAGAGAATTACAAAATTGTACTGCACTATTAATGTTGATGTCAGGGCTTCTGCAGTCCCAATATCAAAGGAGAGTCATTTTAAGTTCTCTTTGTGCTGTGTTTGGTTATATAGGTGTAATTATATTTAGTCACCTAGTAAACATTTGGAAAGAAATAGCTACACCTTAAAATAATTATCTAGGATCTCTTTAGGATTAACAGTTTTAGTACTTTATCTTTTTTTTTTTTTTTTAATATGGGGCATTGAACCCAGAACCCAGGGCGCTTTACCAGTGAGCTACATTCCCAGTGCTTGCTTTTCTTTTTAAAAATTTTTTAAAATTTTTTGAGATGGTCTTGCTAAGTTGTTGAGGCTGTCCTTGAACTTGCTGTCCTCCTTCCTCAGCCTCCAGACACCTGGTTACTTACAGTCTTTCACTTTGGGCATTCAAGTGATACATTTGATCAGTAGAATTAGATGTGATCACAGTTAAATCCTGGGTTTTGTATGTTTATGCACTGCCTTAACAGAAAGACCTTGAGGCAACAAGAGTTAGCGTGGTTGTCATCTTTGATTTACCATTTATTTGGACAAATAAAATGAAAGGGAAAGATTTTTAAGGAATTTTTCTTTAGATGACCAAGACTGTACACTGATATTTCCTCCCATGTTTTCAGGCTGACCTTGGCCCAGACAAGTACTTGTCAGATAAAGATTTTCAGTGTCTAATCAAACTCCTGCCTTCCTGTTTGGTGAGTACATGTCCTTCTGTTATTCTCAGGGATGATCCCAGACTCATAGTGTTGAGTGTGAACATGAGAAGAAGAGCAGAAATGCTCGAGAATGGAGAGAGAGGTGGATTTCAGACCTGATGGAAACTGTGCAGGGTCCTCCCATGGATCACAGACCATTTGAAATGACACTCATGACATCTGCACAACCCATGAAATATGATAATTTAAATATAACTTTAAATTATATTAGTTTTTTGGGTTTTGTAGTGCTGGAATTAGACCTAGGCTCCACACATGTGAGGTGAGCATTTTATCACTGGGTTACATCCTGAATCCTTTTCACTTTATTTTGAGATATGGCCTTGCTAAGTTGCTGAGGCTGGCCTCACACTTGTAATCCTCCTGGCTCAGCCTCCCAAGTGGCTGAGGTTACAGGTGTGTGCCACCATGCTCAGTTTAGCCTTTGTATTTTAAACAGATACTAGATTAGGAAAGCAAGCACTCTTCTGAGTCTCTTTTTCTTGGTGAGGGTGTATGTATCAGTGGAATTGAAGATCTCTTTTTAGTCCAGAAGACAGAATTTCAATAAGCTGGGTGAAGAGAAGGCAGAATATCCATTTTGTTGTCTGTTACTACTCTCACAGGCTTACTAGTTGACCTTCATTAGCACTACTTATGCAATGCACAGGTTTAATATAAGGCCTTTGTTGGAAAGGATCACAATGATATATTTCAAGATAGCAGGAGAATATCTTCAGTAAAGACTAATCTGGCCAGAAAATTGAGTAAATGTTGATGTTCTTTATCTGTTGTCTGAATGAGGTTGTAGGAGTTCCTTAATGGCTGAGCAAAATTATGCTGACTTGTCCAGTTGAGTTAACACGTTCATTTTTGAAGACAGAGTGGCTTGTCATGCTATAAAAGGCCAGGCTTTTAACAAGGTATCATGTGTGACCAAGAAAAATGGTGTGGCCTTGAGTTTAGCAGGTTGTACAGTACACTGTCTGCATTCAGTTTTAAATTTATTTTAATGGGCTGTACTTTTTCTGTTTTTAAAGTAGCATATATAAGAGGTACATGTTAATTGTAGAGAAGCCATAAGACACAGATGAGCAAAAATAAGAAAATAAAATTCACCTGTAATCCCAACCAACCAGAAGGAGGAACCAAAATGTTGAGTTGTTACACTTTTAGAATTTTATTTGACTTTTTGAAAATTTTATACATACTGCTTTTTTTTGTTTTGTTTTGTTTTTGGTACTGGGGATTGAACCCAGGAGTGCTATACCACTGGGCAACATCCCCAGCCCTTTTTATTTTTTATTATGAATCAGGGTCTCATTAAGTTGCCCAGGATGGTCTTAAACTTGAGATCCTCCTGCCTCAGCCTCCTGAGTCACTAGAATTACAGGCATGCACCACTTTACCAGCTACATGTTGTTTGAAAACTTCCCTTAGTCATGTAAACATGATCATCTAAATAAATACAATGCAACATTATTATTAATGGTTGCATAGAATTTTCATTGGCTAGTTTACTCAACTAATCAGGCATTTAGGTATTTAATTTTTTTTTCTCTTATTAGATTAAGAAAAACAGAAAAGAAGTCACAATGAGCAATTTTAGCTAAACATTGTGCCCATCCTGAACTGTTTTCTTAAGATAAATACCTAGAATTAATAAATAATGTTGGGGCTGGGGATGTGGCTCAAGCGGTAGCGCGCTCGCCTGGCATGTGTGCAGCCCGGGTTCGATCCTCAGCACCACATACCAACAAAGATGTTGTGTCTGCCGAGAACTTAAAAATAAATATTAAAAATTCTCTCTCTCTCTCTCCTCTCTCACTCTCTCTTAAAAAACAAATAAATAAATAATGTTCTGGGAGATAGTTTGAGACTACATGAAATATCCTGTTCTTTATCAAATCTACTAGTTTTAGCTTTCAGTGTGATTTCTTTTTTTTTTTTTTTTTTTTTAGATTCAAACAGCAATTCTTTATTCCCGAACTCACACCGGCCCTGTACAAACGTTCTGGGGAAATCCAAGTTCTGCCACACAATTCACGTCCCAAATACTTTCTCAATTCCACGAGAACTCAATCAGTGTGATTTCTAATTCATCATTCCTTTTGTATTTATTAGATCATAAGAAAGAGCTTTCCTTTTTTTCTTTTTAATCTTTCTGTGCTGAGGATCAAACCCAGGGCCTCATGCATGCTAAGCAAGCATCCTACCACTGAGCTATATTCCAGCCCTTTTAGTCATATCAGTATGGACTCGAGGGTTTTTATTTTACTCATTGAATTTTTTTTTCTTTTTATTTGGTGGTGCTGGGGATTGAACCTAGAGCCTTGTACATGTGAGGCAAATACTCTTACCAGCTGAGCTATATCCCAGCCTTTTTCATTGATTTTTTTTTAATATTAGTAATAACTTTTATTTTTATTCAGAAAAAAGTTATTATATCTTCTATTTTTCTTTTTTTTGTACCAGGGATTGAGTTCAGGGGCCCTGGGCCATTGAGCCACTTCCCCAGCCCTATTTTGTGTTTTATTTAGAGACAGGGTCTCACTGAGTTACTTAGGGCCTCACCATTGCTGAGGCTGGCTTTGATCCTCTTGTCTCAGCCTCCTGAGCCGCTGGGATTACAGGCATACACCACTGCGCTGGCTAAATTCTTTTTAGATATACATGGCATAGAGTGTATTTTGACATATCATACATGCATGGAGTCTAACATTCTAATTAGGATCCCATTCTTGAGGTTGTACATGGTGTGAAATTGCACTGATCATGTATTACATATGAACATAAAAGAGTTATGTCTAATTCATTCTATATCTTTCCCATTCCCGTCCCCTCACTCTCCCCCCATTCCCCTTTGTCTATTTCATTGAATTTCTTTTTGGGGTGATGGGTATGTTCTATAATTAGATTGTGATATCTTACCACTGAATATATTGAAAACCATTGAATGGTTAGGGTGAATGTAATGACATGTGAATTATGTATCAATAAAGCTATTAAAAAGTCAGCAGCCATCATGCTGATGTGATGATCAGGAGAAACTTTCAAGATTGATTACTGTATTTTTCTGGGCATAACCTTTCACCCTCCCCCAGCCTCTCCACCCTCTAGCCCTGGGCAGCTCAGCTCCTGCTGTCTTAAATTTTCATGGAATTCCTGTGAGCTGTTGGGCATTGTCATGCCAATCTGGAGCCAGTTTGTTCATGTAACCAAAATTTGAGGTTATTTGAGGACTTTCCTCTCAGTCATTAAATAATTTGTCTTTTCCCCACCCTACTTGGTTGACGTCAATGTCCCAATCTGAGGAGGACACTGTGAATCATCATATTGCAAATGTCTATGGAACAGCAGGGTGACCCATGCCAGCAGCTTTGGAAAGGAACAAAGATGCCAAACGTTACTGCTTTTGCTTATTTCCTGGCTGCTGTGCTCCCTGGCTCGGCACCCCAACAGCAGCATGGAATACTAGGCCAACCTGCGAGCAAAGGCACATTGATCCTGGTCCCACTCGGTTGTGCTGAGATTTGGCTGTGTTCTTTGTCCATTTATAGAGGCAGAATATCAAAACCATATTCCCCAAACTCACATTTCCTGTCTTCCACCAGGCTTTTGCCTGAACTAAGAGAGTGCAGATACCTTCAAGGTGGAGTTCACCATGTTCATTATCCACTTTCCTCTTGTCAATAACATCTCTGTCCCTTCCCCCATTGGAAGGAAGAGGAACTAGTTGGTCATCTAAATAACTTGAAACTACCACCATTCAGGAATATCCTCACATTTATATGCAACCAAACTACCAAGGTGGCTCTTGACTCTGCATAAGCAGGCCCTGGACCCTGCTTCTCATGCCAATCAACATGAATTTCTTTTTTGTTTTGGCAGCACCCTTACATCTATCGGGTTATCTTTGCCACTGCTAATGAATCCTCTGCACTGCTAATCAGGACATTTAATGAAAAAGGAACTTTGAAGGATCTGATTTACAAGGTAAATGTATATGATCATGGTTACAAAGTTCTTTTGAGTTCCTTTAGATCTCATTATTAATACTCGATACCTAAGGTTCCAGAAGCTAGGCCTTGAGGATTTTATTTTAATTTTCCTTTTATTTGGAAAGACTACACAGTTTTGTTAAAAAGAGTATTTTTTTATTTTTATTTATTTATTTTTTTTAGTTGAATATGGACACAATACCTTTGTTTTACTAATTTATTTATTTTATGTGGTGCTGAGGATCGAACCCAGTGCCTCACATGTGTAGGGCAAGCGTTCTACTACAGAGCCTCAGCCCCAGCCCCAAGAGCATTTCTTTTCACACATGAGGAAAGATAGGACACTTAATGATTGTATCCATTTCATTGTTGGCTTGGGTCAATTTTAAAGTTTGTCTAGAATGTAACCAAGCAGTTCTGAAGAGTCCTGACAGTATGCAGGGTTCAGGGGACTACCAAGGCCTTGACTAGGCACATCATCCCTGGGAAAGAGAAGGGACAGAATCCAAGTCATTCTCTTTCTATCCACTACACAGACTCTTGTATTTTTAAACCCACATCCTGTGGGCTGGCCGTCTCTGGAACCTCCAGTGTCTGTAGGCTATTCCGTGTTCCGGAAGCTCAGGTGCAGATATAGGCTCCTCTGACACTTTCTAATGTGCTCTTTGTTCTTTTCAAAAGGCAAAACCAAAGGACCCATTCTTAAAAAAATACTGCAACCCTAAGAAGATTCAGGGCCTTGAACTCCAGCAAATAAAAACATATGGACGGCAGATTTTAGAGGTAAGAGGTATTCAATTTTTGTTTAAGTGGCACTGGAGTTTTGTCCACAATTATATTCTTCTTATGGAAACATTTTCAGGCAATATCCAAAACTGCTGACATTGTCTGAATATTTATAAACTGATGGCATTGCTATATTTTACCCCCAAAAGCAAATATTTGTGATGAAGGTGGCAGTAATTTACATTTATAAAATTCTAAAAGTGTTAGCTATTAATAACTTTGGTGTCTGACTTTTAAGAACTTTGGTATGAGGATGCCTGGTTTTGTGTTTGGTTGACCTTCATCTCTGTGCCAAGACTTTTGTTTTGTTATATGGGATATATACCCATGTGGTTCCCTTACAGATGTATAATCAGTATTGAAAGCCTTTCCCATTTGGGCTGGAGGTTTAGCATCACAAGACCTGAGTGAGGTTCAATCCCTAGCACCAAAAAGAAAAAAGAAATAAAAAAAAAGAAAGAAAGAAGAAAGGAAAGGAAAGCCCTTTCCCATATCATCCTCTAAATCATATTTTCTAGACTTCCTGACCTGTGCAGCCCTATCATAAAAAAGACTTGAGCATAAACCTCCGTTGTATATATTTAACTATATATATTACATACATGTACTACTCATAATATATTTTACATACTGTAAGTTAAATAAGGTGAAGAGTTTAAAAGTCAACAGTAGGGGGCTGGGGTTGTGGTTCAGTGGTAAGTGCTTGCCTGGCATGTATGAGGCACTGGGTTCAAACCTCAGCACCACATTAAACAAATAAATAAAGGTATTGTATCCATCTACAACTGAAAATAAATAAATAAATAAAGTCAACAGTGGGGAAGTTGTGGTATTTTCTTTCAGTCCTCAGTAACTGACCTTGGCACCCCCCTTTAACCGATGCCGCTGTGACTCGCCAGGTCTTTGCAGGGCTGTATTGAGGCATCTCTATTCCGGGGACAAGCCACTTTTTTTAAATGGCAGCTGAAAAGTTTGCTTCTTTTTTTTTTTTTTTTTAATTT